AGAATATCCATCCTTAAAATTCTCAAGTACCAGCTCACACGTGTCTACACTATAGACATGTTCTTAGGGCAGAATAACTCCCTTTCGTGGAATATCATTGTGAGATCATTCAACATCTGTCTTCTTCTTGAGAGCAAAAACTCTTTGGCCAATCATTCCCTCTCCAGCCGTGGAACGACTCATCTCACAGCTCGGTAAACCTCTCCTAAGTCATTGCAGCATGCTTTGCAGGAGAATAATCGGTCGTCACAAACTTCCACAAGTCCTGCGCCCTCAAGTGAAGTTGGTTCAACGTGAATCGAATCTTCAGGTTCTCAGGGCATGAATAGGTATAAAAACATCCCTCAACATCCGAGATCCATCTCATCACAACAATTGGGTCCTAGGTCCTGTTAAACTCTAGTGGCTTCGTGTTGCTGAACTCTCGGAACATCAATGAATCACCCCCCTGAGGCCTTGCAGCTGCACGAGATATAGTGGTTGCGGCAATGACAGCCTCAATAACGGAAGCATAACGCTTGTCAAAAGTCTCGATCAACGTGGTCTTAATAGACATGGACATCTCTTGGATGACCACCCTGATGGCTGCAACCACCTCATTAGCAATGATCCTGCGGATATCACCATCATTGGTACTTGAACTTTGGAGGTTGTTGGAGCCAGAGTCTCGGGTAACCACCATATTCTCTGAAACATAAACACGAAAATCGTCAGGGAATGGCTAAAATGCATGCACAACACTTATACATCCTTTCAAGCTCCTTATCATCCTAATATTCCTTCTTAATTCACATATGAATTCGGTGCATTCAGTAGTACTGACCCAATACTACCTTCCACACCAATCTGTATTTGTCCCTAGTCGTCCTCTTAAGGCCCTAAGTCACAAGTACTCTATCCCACATGGATATTTAACTATTCTCTCAGTAGACTCCTCAAACTAAGTATCTAGGCACTCATCCCAGATTACTCCTAAATGCCAAACTTTCTTTGCAAGGATCTCCACCATTCTCGCCATCTATTCGACGCACATCAATCAGACATGATATCGGGATCGATAGAAAGTTGAATAAATGATTCTTCCTCAAGTCCACAACCAAAAAAGGAATAGAAAGAAAGGCTAAATTAGGCATTCTAAGGCTATAAAGTCTTAACCATGTACAATTAAGCAGCATTCACAGAGCAAATAGCATTGATAGGTTCAATCAAACAAACGACCTCCTAGGCTAAGGCATCATGAATTCGGAAATTCTAGCTCATAATTTCTGGAGATACCTAGCCTGTCTTCTAGCATGCAATTCTAACAACTCAAAAATAACTCGTCTCATAAAATAATCAAGTAAGGGTATTTTGGGAAATCACCGCTTGGGCTCTAGCTTATTGTACACACTGCTTCGTCCTGCTTTTCTCATTAAAGTTATTACTCTTTTGGGAAAAAAAATATTTTTAAGAAAATCATTTATTTTTCAGAAATTTAATCAAATCCTCGGTTTGAGTCTAGACATACCTAAAGGTGTGCCCGAATCCCTCAAACCAAGGCTTTAATACCATCTTGTAATGCTTAAAATTTTCAAACAAATTTTTTTCATTTTTAAGATTCTCAAAATATAGTTTTTAACACCATCTCATGCCAAATAAAATTATCAAATGCATAACATCAAAAAAAAAACAAAGTCAAAATATCCTAGAATCCACAAATATCCCTATTAGCAGGCGAGTGTGTCAATCATGTCGGCGCCTTCCTGGGATCCTAAGATGTACCTGAAACACATTTACATCAACACCATAAGCACGGAGCTTAGTAAATTCCCCAAAATACCACATATACAACTAATAATTTCCCATAGCTATATCACGATAAGGACCCTCAGATCATGTGTCTTAGTGAAGACCCTACAACCTCACATCTCGGTGTGGACCCTCAGGTCATAACTCAATATATACACAGAATAATATAACAACATAAGTCACAAAGACAAAATGCATTATAACAAATATCTCAATATAAGCAAATAATAACCTCTAGTAAATTCTCCAGTCAATTCATGAATCACTATACAAGTAAGTATAGTGAGAAGAATCACCTCGTGTAGCAAAGCAAATAAATCTCGCACCTAAACTATCGGTCTAGACTCCACGTAAAATATGCCATAATATAACTCTAACTAATATTAGTAACCTCGTAATGCTAGACCAAGCCTCTCACTAATCTTAGGAGTGTAAAAAGACCATTTTTCCCCTCCTTGGCCAAAAGACCATAATTTGACCTAAAACCCCAAAAGTCAACGAAAGTTAACCCCCAGCTAGTATGTTGGGCGTACAACTCCATACGTTGGGTGTATTGGCGGCTAAGCGTGCGACTGGGGTTTATGACTCTACACTACGTGTAGGTGGGGGTACGCAGGGGGTACTCCTTGCACTCCCACTTGTCACTTCTCTAGGTCCGAACCCGTTAAAACAAGCATTCCAACTATAGATCTAGGCTAAGTAAGATCTCTTATTCCATAAAGTTGTTGACTTTGAGCCTTTGCATGGCTAGAAAAGACCCAATCCCAAAAACTCTAACTTCTCAACACAAAAGACCATATAACTCATGCATGGAGACACTAATACGCCCAAGCACTTATTTTTAGAACACTCTAATACACCTAAAAGGACAGAAGAATAGTTCTGGAGTTTACCAAACTTACAAAGTTCCGTACTTGGGACATAAAACCCTAAAAAGGACCCAAAACAAGAACTAGAGCAAACAATGAACTAGTTTTGAACTTGATACCACTGGAAGATGCACCACTGAAGTAGAACTCAAATCCAAGAGCTAGAAACACCAATTATCCTTCTTTCATATCTTCTTCTCAACCATTAGCTTCACAAGAACACTCAAATGAGCCACAAACACTCACACAATCTAGAGGGATGAGATTATGGTTTTGAGGAGGTTGAAGGCTGATAATAGTGGTTGGAAATAAGGCCATCATGTTCCTTAAATAGAGGCACAAGAAAATATTAGGGTTTCTCATTGAGCCTAGTACGCCCATCGTACACTTTGGTATGCTCATCGTACTAGGTAGTCTCCGCGACAATGCTAAGTGCATGAGTACGCTGAGTAAACTAATGTATAAGCCCCACATACTCGAATGCCACCTTTTCCAACATAAGGATCAAAGTTGACATAATTATAAAAGGTTAAGTTCTGAGAAATTATACCTCCATTTGGGGATGTTACACCCTTAGTCGTCGATCCGGTGGTAGTTGATAGTATTATTGGTTGATTTTTCAGGTTCTTTCTTTCACTACGATCTTTGGGTTCTGATTTCCAGGTTTAGGGTTTCGAGTTGCTTACGGGTTTTTGGTTTTCCTTGGGTTCAAGTATAAATTTTCTTATTCTAATATCATTATGTCAAGATTCTAGTTTAATTTGGGTTTGGTTGATGAAGGGGTTGACTACAATATCTCAAGAAATCATAAACAAATAGATAAAACAAAATATGACTGAGGGTTAGGAAGGAAATCAAATCAATTCTCCATGAATTTGTTTGTTCATCCACTTCCTCCCAATCGAAATCTCCACTATTTTGTTGTTTAGGCTAATCAAGTGCAACAGGTGGCAATCCTTGAAGCAACAATAGGGGAGGCGGTGTTGTCATCACGGTTGGTGGTTGTTTAGGATCAAGAAAGCAAAAAAATTTGAGAGAGAATAATTGGTGGGTGGGGTAGATACTTTTTTTCCAAATTTATAATTATATCTATTCTATCAAATAATTTTTAATAGATTATTTACCAATAGATAATAAATAAATCAAAAGAAAATAAATAAGGCAAAATGGTCTTTTTATGTTTATAGGGATGAAAAGTGTAATGTTTAAACTAACAAGAGACGGTCTGACTTAGTTTTGGAAAATATGAATTAAACATGTATTTTAGCACTAAAACCAAGGACGATTCATGTAATTTACTCTAAAAATTAAGTACGAATGCCAAAAAGTCCCCGATGGGGCCTCGATCCCAAATGGGGGATATTTATTAAAAAATCGGGGGTAGGGGAAGGCACAGGGGCAAGGTTATTCGAGGGCGTGGAGGAGGTAGGCAGTCCCATCCCGAACTCCCATGTGGACTATATATATATATATATATATATATATATATATATATATATATATATATATATATATATATATATATATATATATATATATATATATATATATATATATATATATATATATATATATATAGTATCAATGATTTTGAGCTTCCAAAAGTCAACAAAAAAAAAATCATGTTTTTAAAATGTTAGTGATGTGATAACATTTTTGTTTTGAGTAAATTACACGAATGGTCCCTATGGTTTGGGGTAATTTGAATGTTTGGTCCCTAACTTATTTTTTTAACTCGGAAGGTCCTTACGGTTTGTTTTTGTTACGTGCTTGGTCCCTACAGTTTATTTTTGTTACGCACTTGGTCCTTGTCTTACCTAAAACGACTATTATTTAAATAAGAAAAAATGGTGGGGTAGGTAAGGTAAGGTGAGTGGGGTGGGGTTGGGGGTGTGTTTACTTAAATAAATTAAAATATCAAGGGAAAAATAGTATCTTTAGGTAAGACAGGGACCAAGCGTGTAACTAAAACAAACAGTAGAGACCTTCCGAGTTAAAAAAAATAAGTTAGGGACCAAATACGTAAATTACCCTAAACCATAGGAACCATCCGCGTAATTTGCTCTTTTGTTTTTTAACATGTAAATTATGTTATAAATAACTATTTTAACCCAAAAGTAACTTCTTTAAGTCCAAAAAACTTATTTAAGCCCAATAAAAATATATCTCGAATTCAATCGGAGACGGGAAAACAAGCGCAAGGTAATGAAGATATTCGGGGGCGGTGTCGGGGGCGGGGGTGAGGAGGCTGGAAATTTCGGGGGCAACGGCAGGGACGGGGAAATTCCCATCCCGTTTGCCCCCGTTACATCCGTAAAAGTAAGTACAAAACACTTTGGAAGATGGAGTAAAATATGAAAGATTAGAAGATTTGTACAAGACACATCTTCCTAAAAGTCTTATTCAACTCGTTTCGTTAAAAAAAATATCTATGTATGACTTATTTCAAACAAAATTTGTATATCACTTGTGCGTATAATTATAACAACAAATCGTTTCCTCAAACAAAACAACAAAACCCCACTACTTTGATAATTTACATGTTTTAAACGCGCCTTGATTTCCTTCAAACCATTAGAATGAATCAAAAAGATACTAAACCTTTCATGCAACTCTAAAAACCTAATAATTCCAAACCCAATCAAGGTCCACTAATCCAGCTAAATTCATGGCATAATCTTGATTATTCCCAAATTCACTTTTTGGGTTTTGTTGCATGTTTGAATGATCCTCTTTATCAATCAAGAGCGTGAAAATTGAAGGATCATGATACTGCAAGTATTCAATGTTTGGAACCATTTGGTTGTTTGAAAACCCAAAACGATTATCATTCATTGAAGGCATCATGGAAATTGATTTGTTGTAAGTTTCAATCAATTCTTCCTTGGTAGGTTTCTGTTCTTGGATAGATTCGGATATTGGTCTTGAGACATCCATTAATGGAGGCAAATTTGAAGGCTCCAATTCATCTTCATAGGAATTGTAGTTAATGCTCGAAACCCCAGAAATTTGAATTTTCTTCCCTCCACAATTTTTTTCAAATACCTTACTAATTACCCACTCACCCTACAAAAACAGAGCAAAAATCAACAAAACAAGACAAAATCAGAGCAATATAACAATCTAGAACAGAACAAGAATCATCAAAAGAAGGAAAAAATCATCAAAATAGAGTAAGATTCATCCTAAACAATAAAAAAAAACGTAAAACATTGTAGGAATCATCAAAACAAAGCAAACCCATCATAATAGAGTAAAAACAGAGCAAAGAATCATCAAAACCGAGGATAGCCAGTGTAAAAACAGAGCAAGATCTATGAAAACATAGCAAAATGAGAGAAACAATCATAAAAATGCAGAAAAAATTATAAAAACAAAGAATGAAGCATAAAAAAGAATCAAAAAACAAAGAAAAAATCATCAAAATAGGTTGGAAACCAAAGATAGAAACGTAAAAATCTAAAACAGAGTAAGAATCATCGAAACAGAGTAAAGAAATACATAAAAATGGTACCTTTGATGATGCAGAGAGATTCTTTAATCTTCCTTCTAATCTAAACTCATGCATGATCCAGTTCGTCTTTTCACCTTTCGGAGCTCTACCTTTATAAAAAACAAGAGTTTTCTTCATACCCACAAGTGTTTTTGCTTTATAAATTTCTCTATCTTTCCCTGTAGCCTTCCAATATCCCATTTCTGTAGCTCTATTCGATCTGAAACCAGTTGGGTATTTTCGATCTCTAACACAAAAGAAATACCATTCCTTCTCCCCAATTTTCGCTCTCACTTGAATTCAATTATAATATCAAAATCAGTAATCAAGCAATAAAAAGTTTCAGAAAAGAAAACACGGTTCATGATCATGATCAAAATAACTTACATGGAAGCTCCCATGGCTCGAATTTGTTCAAATCAACGTCTCCAATGGCTCGACTTGCAAAAGAATCATCAAACGCCTTCCGATATAAGTAGTGAATTATGAGTTCGTCGTCAGTAGGATGAAACCGAAAGCCTGGGGGGAGTTCGATGTGTTCTTCGTGATCATGGTTGCCATAATTGTGTTCCATTGAAGCTTATGTAATCAGGCAAATCAAGAAATTTGGTTGAAGTTTTAGTGGGTTTTGTAGGTTAAAGAAGAGAATTGCGAACAGGATCGAGAAGCCATAAATAGTGTTTATGGAGAGACAAGTTGGGTTGGTTAGTTTGAAGCTTTTTGGCTTTCTTTTTTTTGCCCATTATTTTGTTTCATGTAAAACCAAAAAACAATATCCGAAAAATAAATGCTTTTTTTTTTATATGTTTAAATATAGACTTTATCACACAAATGTCAATATATATATATATATATATATATATATATATATATATATATATATATATATATATATATATATATATATATATATATATATATATATATATATATATATATATAATAGTTTATAACCCATGGAAATCACGGTTATAAAATTAATCAAACTTTTATAGTAAAAACTTAAAATTATTAATAAGTTATTTTAAATAAATTATTAATTTAAGAGATACTTTTTATTACTTATGTGAAATTATAATCATTGATTCAAATAAATATATAAAATTAATTTTTAATATATATTAGATATTTTTTATTTGTGAATTAATGACAACGATAATTTAAAATTTAAAATTTAAAATAAAATCATATTAATGAGGATGTCTAATAAATTTAAAATTAAAAACTAATAGATTGACAAGTGGCAACACATTAATTAAAATGTCTAATATGGTGACACATAGCAAAAGAGCTACTCTTTTATTAGTGTACTAGATCTAAGACCCGTGTACTACACGGGTTTATTAAAAATAAAAATTTAATATCAATATTTAAACATTAAATTTAATATTAATATCAATTTTAGAGCTCTCATTAATTATGTCATTTATTACATTATAAATATATCATTTCTTTTTCAAGCAAGCATTTATTTTCTTTCAATTTTAACCGAAATGAGTTATGATATGTGAACAAATAAGAAAATTTCATGTGGAAATAAATAAATTCTAAAAATCTATTAAAATGTCATGTGTTCAAATTAATGAGGACATGACATGTGGCAGAAAATAGGTTTTATTTTATTAGTGTATATATATATATATATATATATATATATATATATATATATATATATATATATATATATATATATATATCAAATTTCCTTTTTTTTTTCTTTAAAATATCTATATGAAAATTATGATCCATTTTAGAGGAACCTTTGTTGATTTTGCCAATTTGTTTTTCTAAAGTCATATTTTGTAAACTTTATTTTTTCAGAAATGATATTTTTTGGAAAAATGATGTAATTTTCTGAAAAATTAATTTCATTTTCAAAATTTTTTTTGAGAATTTTGAAATTCTCCTAGGAAAAATTTATGAGAAATATAAACGAAGGTATATGCTATACTAGTATTGTATTCGTATTAGGTATTATCCATGTTTTCATATTTATATTTAATGTAGTCATGTTTACATTTGATACAAATTTTATATTATATAGTATTTGTATTAGCATATAAGTGTATATTATAACCTATAAACATTAATAAGAACTCATCATAGGATATGTTGACTAATGACTATTGATTTTATCATGGTTTGATAATACAAGGTTGACCAATGCGCTACATGACAATTTCCTGTGATTCGTAGGCATGGTGTGAAATGGCTTGCGTTAGGTTATGGCATGGAAGAAAGAGAAGCATGCAACGATCTTGTGATAATTTGACATTTTAAACAAAAATAAGTTTTAAATTAACATTTTTAAACTATACATTCTACTCTATTTTATACATATTTTCACACTATAAATATCACATGTTCTTTACAAAAAAAACCTTCCATAAATCTATCTCTTATGCCACCACCACAACTTAGGCCATATGGTATGGTTGTTATGGACCTTCCATAAGGAGCACGTAGGATGTGTCGTGAGCACCATTTTTAGTGGTTCATAGGCATGGTGTGAAATGGCTTGCATTACTCTATGGCATGGAAGAAAGCGAAACATGCAACGATCTTGTGGCCGTTTAACCTTTAATAAATAAATTAACATTTGTAACCTATAAGTTCTAACATATGTTGTACACATTTCCACATTATTAATATTGCACATTCTTTACAAAATTATCCGTACATTATTTACAAAATAATTAATGATGAACAATTTTCATCTTCATCTTCTTCTGATATAGATTGTATATTTTTTTTTTCACTCATTCGTGGAAATGGAAGTCACCATGTTGAGCCAAATTTCCGAAATTTTAAATGCCATCAAAATTACTAGAATTTGAGTAAACAATGATCGTAACATTGTCTACACACTTCGTGTATGCGATTACTTTGTCTATGATTGCTTATACGACCATATTCTATTCAAAAGTGTTTTCGTATAACTAAACTTTGATTCCTACATACATATAATGATTTGGTAGACAATTACGCCAATTTTCAATTAAGATGAGATGCTAGATGTAGACGGCTTTTAGTCCGCTGCAAAATTTTACATCCATTTGGCTTTTGGCATACAAAATCACCCCCATAACATTCACAAAATAGTCCCAGAAGTGTTTGTCTTTTAGTGAAAAATAATATATATATATATATATATATATATATATATATATATATATATATATATATATATATATATATATATATAGTTAATAAAAATAAATAATTAAAGAAAAATTATAAAATATATCATCAGTATGATGGAAGAAATAAATAATAGTTCTAAAAGATTTAAATTGAGAAAAAAAATGATTTAGGACCAAAGTTGTAGATTCATAAAAGTTGAGATTGATTCTATTTGACCAAATAGGGCTTACATGTCAATAATCATATGGGTATGGATTAACTATGTACAAATATAGTAAATTATTGTTTTCTTAGTCAAAATGGTGGTCTAGGCGTAAGCTTTTGAAGTTGAGTGGCCTTATTAGCCGAATGTTCATAGTTTTGGGATTAGATATCAAACCCTTAACCCACCCACCCACCCACCCCCCCCCCCCCAACTTTAAAATGTGTTCAGCCCTAAGAGCCCCTCCATGGCCGATTTCTTCCTTTATCATGGTGATTCGAAGGTTACAAGTTCATTGTATTAGACGTATCATTAGTGGTATCAGAGTTAAATTCCTAGCTAAAAATGTCTCTAATGAGCGAGAAACCCAAATTCATGGGATTTTACGTATACCTCTTGAGTTTGTCTGAATCTTCCTACTCTTTTGGGACGTGGTGGATAAAGTCAACATTTGTTTTTTTTGGTGACACCGATTCCATTTACGATATGGAACCTGTCTATGATACTGAAGATGAAGGCGATTTTGTTGAAAAGGAAGTATGTGTTGAAAATAATATTTCTTTTCCAAAACTCCTAATTGTAGAAACGGGTGATGATAATGTCTACGACGATTTTTTAGTTTTTTATATTCTTTACAACCATGATCTTTTTTCGATGGCTACTCAAGAAATCAGAATAGAGGAAACTAACGAGGCTACCAGAAACATCTTTGATCAAGACTATTTTCTCTTTGGGTATGTTTATGTTCGTTTTGAACTTTGGAAATTGTTTGCCATTTGGAAACCGTGGTTAAGAGGAATTAAATATGAAGAATCGAGCATAAAGACAAAGACTCGAGGACAAGTCTTTTTTAAGTAGGGGAGAATGATGTGTGCTCCAATGAGGATAACCCGACCCCTATGTATTCAAAAGTTCCATGATTGAGTTACGAGAAGGGCTTCATTGAAATGATCATAACTGGCTTAAATGAGTTGAAGAGTCTTCATATTCGACTTACTAATTGTTGATATAATGGATCTTTAATTTTTCAATAATGGGTCTTTAATTAGTTCAATAATGGGACTTTAATAGTTCTTTAATTGTTTTTGACTTTTTATATTTCTGAGAGTTATGTTTCTTAGCACTATAAATAAAGTTCATAGTTGTACTTGAAAATCAGTTATCTTTTGAAGAAAATTAAGAACTTTGTTCATCCCTTTCTCGAATTATTGCTCATAATTCAGATTTGTGTCATGTTTAGGACATGATCTCATTCGTGATTTTTGATTTCAAGTAAATAGGTCTTGGCTTGTTATCATGATTGTCAGATTATATGTCTAATCTATTAATCAACCTATCCTTTTTTACTTATTCGCATTTATCACCTCGTCAAAACTGTTCCAAATATAACCAATAAAAAACCGATTTGCATTGTGTCTTCTATATTTGTTATTATTCCGCTTAATCACAAACACTCCAAAATAAAACCTCCCATATTCGTATCACATGTGACAACATCTAAGACATGTAGTCAGTTCTCGAAGAGATGTGTGGTCGCGGCGCATCCACATGTATGTCACGGTGCAGCGGCTAGAAGTATAAATAATTGTGATTTTCATCATTTGGATGTTTTGGCATACGCGGTCGGGAGAGAGACTCTAGAGGTATCTCTGTAGGCTTATTACCGTAGACTTGTACTAGTGTGTACGAACTTTAGGTTTAAGCTACGAGATTAGTAGAAGTATTTTTTATCTTGTTATTATGTGATTATGTTTACGTAGTAGTTGTAGTGGGTTACTAGACCCCGAGTGTGTTATGTGAATTCATTATATGGTTCTATTATGCCCTAGTGGTTTGTTAAATGTTAATTTGGTCGGCAAGGGTTATACACCCTAGTTTATTGAGATTTGCTGATTGGGTTAACGACTTATGAAGTGAAGTCGTTAGGTGATTATTTATGGCAATTAGACTAGTTTGCTGACAAATAGTTCCCGATTCTAGTTAGTGATCAAGTAATTGATCAAAGTGGTTAATATGCGGTGAGATTAGATAGGTTTTAATGAACTTGATATATTATCCAAATAGGTTTGTGTAAGTGATAAGTTGGAAAGCAGCATTGTCACACCCCAAAACCATGAATGGCGGAGGACATCATGTATAGTATCACAACAATGAATAGTAGTAAACAAGCAACAACATCATCCATTGCATTAATAATATAATTTCATACGTGTGTGTTCTGTCAAAGTTATAGACACCAAAAATATACATATCAAAATAAAAGATGAGTCTTGAACGAACTCCATCTTCTCAAAAGCCTGGCACCTGTACCTGTCTAGTGGTGACCTGAGAATACAAGTTATTTTGAAAGCGAGTATCAACTTTAAAGTCGGTGAGATCATAAGTATATTAGTGTTTGAGTTTGTATGAAAGCATTTGTAAGATGTAATGTATAAGTTTTGTAAAGTTTGTATTTGTTTGAACTATCCTAGAAAACCCTTTGATTCTTACTAAGAGTAGC